TAGGGAGTTTAAGCTTCACGTTTCCGCGGGAACGGCAAACGGCAGGTTCAAACTTTCTTGGCGACATTTTCGTTGAACGTTTTCGTTTCATATTTTCTTTCTTGTGTCGAAAGAATAATCATGCAGTGCAGTTTTAAAACAGCAAGTATACATTCACTCTTTACTGCCTGATACTGCAAAATTTTTCTTTGCCTGGTGTTTGCGCCAAAAAATTACTGCCGTAAATGACTCGAGTCAACTGAGTTACACCTTAATCCTTATTCAGATCCGATTCATCAAAAAATACAGTATTATGCCTTATGGCCAGGAATAACAATGAGGCCTGAAATAGCTTAAAGAAATTCTCTTAGATTCTGATCATTTCATTTACTTCATTTCTGACCATTTGCAAGTTACAATAGTTGTACAGTACATGGTTTGTAGCACTGCAGGCATTATGTTTATGTCTGTTGACTGTCTTGTTAATCTTTTCTTTAAATTCCTATATTAGCCATTTCGAAGTTGATGAGAGGACTGGGGACGAGTGGTAAAAAGTGCCCAAATTAAGAAATGAACCAAATAACTAAAAAGACAACCTCAAAATTAGTAATTATACAAAGTTTGAAGACGTTTACATCAATACCCTTCGAATAATAAGCTTTCAAAAATTGCGAAAGTACTGATTAAAAGATTGTTTTTGGAACGCGCGTCCCAAAAACAAAAATTACAATACATTTCATAGTAAATATCACGATTTTCGAAAGCTTATTATTCGAAGGATATTCATGTAAACGTCTTCAAACTTTGTATACTTACTAATTTTGAGGTGGTCATTTTAGTGATTTGGTTCATTTCCTAATTTGGGCACTTTTTAACACTCGTCTCCAGTCCACTCATCAACTTCGGAATGGCTAATTATCAATGATGTACCTATCTACATATATACTGCAATTCTTTTAACAGATTGTAATTTTCAGAGCTGATTAGAAATAATGATTTTTTCTGTGTTGGTGTTGTGTACTCAGGTGAATATGATATTTGTGATGTTACTTTGAGCGTATATCCACACCGGGAGCTTGAAAAATATGCCCGGCGGGCCCGGGTGGGATTCGAACCTACGACCTTTGGAATACTAGCCCAATGCTCTTCCAACTGAGCTACGCGGTCAGGACGGTTCGAGTAAGTGATATTTCGGAACAGAATCTAGTTCCTTCGATACCAATGTAATCTAGTAATATGATTTTTTCTGTGTTGGTGTTGTGTACTCAGGTGAATATAATATTTGTGATGTTACTCTGAGTGTATATCCACACCGGGCGAGCTTGAAACATATGCCCGGCCACGGTGGGATTCGAACCTACGACCTTTGGAATACTAGCCCAATGCTCTTCCAACTGAGCTACGCGGTCAGGACGGTTAGAAATAGTTCTTACCTTTTGAGAAGATTCGTTTCTTTTCAGAAAGTACTGCCTTGCGTAATGGTAGGCCATCACACAATCCAAACAACCTGCCAGGTTTGAATTCATTTTTTGTGAAAGCTCGGTATTTAGTTCAGGAGAACAAAACTCTCCCAGGACTTCCGCATTTGCCTTGTATTCTGTCATACACCAGAAACACTCCATTTCTAAAAATAAAATAAAAACAAAACTTTGTTAGCCCCAAATTTACAAATTAATACAAAAAAATACATTATAACATACTTCAAAAATCATTAATAATTCATGAGAAAAAAACACAGAGAAAAATCATAAGCGTGTCGTATATTTATATGTGATAGAGATTTCCCTTGACTTACATAAACTTTAACTTTGATTTTCACGGCTTACACAACATATTTTTTTGAAAATTACTTCACCAATGAATTTACCAGATCGATCGTTTTTGAAGCAATTTAAAACAATCGCAGTGCGTGTTTTATCAGACCTAAAGATACTCGGCTTCGGCTCCTATCTCGCCTCGTATCTTTGTATCTGATAAAACACTGCTGCTCATGTTTTAACTATAGTACATAATTAAATAATACTTCAAACTAACTCTAAACAAACTAGGAAAAGTTAACAAACGAGCTACCTTATTAAACCGCTTTTTATAAGTAAACAGATAAACGCGTCTGCATTCATCAAGTCTCCACACCTTACTTACTTTTATGTACTACATACAAGCCTCGTTTAAAAGCTTTCAGTATTTATGATTATTTGCTTATGTCTGTTAATTTCAAAATTCAAAAAGTTCAAAAATTTATCAACCTGGACTATATATACACTCAGGCACATACAGCTATTTTACAGGTATGCCACGTAAGTATCACCTAATTGATAAATATATAATTTAGCTATATATATATAGATATAAAAATTTTAACAAATTCAATATTTGCTTAACGCTTTCCCAAACTTAACATTATCTGACAGACTGTTCCACAATTTGGGACCATAGTATCTCCACGATTCAAGCCCATGTTTTGTGGTATTTACCTTAGGTACAGTAGTTTGAGAATATCTTTTCCTCTTAAGTTGTAAGCTGAGTTTCTACATTGTATTACAGTGTACAGTAAGTCACGGACATGGTCCATGCAATGTTTTGAAGATTGTTCCAAGTATTTTACGAGCTCGTTCCTCAGCCAATGTTGCTCTGCCGAGCTGCTTTACCAAATCGCAACATGGGGTGTTTTTATCTTTAAAAACAAAGCGAATAACCCAATATATTGAATACATACAAAAAATCCCTGATATAAGAATCGTGAAAACAAAACGTTATGCTACCTGAACAAACCCGCGTGACCATTCGTGTCTCCGAGAATATTAACTTACATATATGACCTGACGTCACACCATTGTAGGTGTTTTATATTTAACAAATATAAAACATTTTCTGTGTTGACATACAGTTATATCAACACGAATGGGAAAACGAGATACTGTGTGGAAACACGACGCCCGAAGGGTATGGTATGGTATGGTATAATATGGTATGGTAAAACTTTATTTAAACACGCTAGCCTCGATCAACGCGAGCTGCTTTTCACGAGGGGCATCACACAATAACTACTTACAAATTAAAGAATATACACATTGAACTATATACAAGTTAAACTATATAGAAAAACAAGGAAGCAAAGAATAATAGAAAAGGAATTACATAAAAACTTAACAATCGGTGCGTTTCAAAGGAGGTGTTCATGCCTGACGTATTTTTCTTTTAAAAGAAGAAAGGGTTTCAGAATTTTTTGAATTCTCAGAAAGCAACCTCGTTCCCAGGGTCTTTCTTAGAACGGCGCGAGGCGAAGGAAAGACCCTGGTTTCGGCTGGTCACGTGTCACCCAGATTCTGGGTGATAAATTAAAATGATACTATCGGCAGGGTGGGAGAGGAGCGTGTTTGTCGCGTTTGTAACAATATTTGCAATTTTGTGTGATGAAATTTAAATTTGCAACAAGAAATCGTGAAGAGAACTGCAATTAAAAATTAATATTTATCGTGATGTGACTTTCTGCTCCATAATCTAGTAT